TTGTTCCTCCTTTTTCTAGTTCTAACTAATCTCAACGTCCGAACAGAAAAGACCCCGCACTTCTGTCGCCGTGGCCCCAACTTGCTTAACTCCTGCACTCTAGGAGTTGGTCCCCCTGCCCCAGGATTTGGAGTGGGTGTGGATCTCACCTTTGCAACTAGGCAGGGGTTTACTCTTCCACCTCTACACCGGGAGTAGCTGCGCCAATGTGCCAGGGAGTCCAACTCGGGTGCCAGCCGCTGAAGTCTTTCCCAAGCTGAGGTCTTCGCGAGCTGGGGGTGCAGTCAGCTAACACTCGGCAGCAGCGCGCATCCGTTCAAGCTGCGCGCCCCGCGAAGCTCCAAGCCCTGAGCAACCAGGCCCACCTGCCTCGGTGCCACGCAAAGGTAAAGCCGCAGGCCACAGTCCGTGTGTCCTGACCAGCTCACCCTTCTTGCAAATTGAGGCATTATGCTTTGATAATGGAATTCTCAGCATTTTTCCCCTAAAGGAATCACTCAGATCATTCCCCAACTAAGGCACTCATAGAAGCTGGGCATTTAGTGCTGGAGGGATCCTTTAGGACAGGCATTTTGAAGATGAAAGAGGTGAGCCACTCCTCTAAGTTGTCACTAGTGGAGTAGTAAAGTCTTAACTGACATATTGCTTCCTAGATTCGCATTACAGTCACCTTTCCAATACACTGAAAACTCTTTCCTCTTTCCCTTTCTTGGTTACTGAGAATCTTGCAATGTTTTCACAAAAAACAGTCACAGAAACATCCCAAACCTACAATAGGAGAAACCCGAGGGCACTGCACAACTCCAGGTCTGCATTAGCAAAGCTTCCCTGGAAGCACAACAGACTAGCCTCTCCACTCAAGCCCTCCCCTCCCGAAGGCAATTAATATAAATTATCCTTAGTCCCAATACATCTTCAAGTGAATATGCAGATAACTGGAAAAAGGCAATTAAAAGAGTAGTTAACTCGGGACCAGGGACCCCTGTGACACACCATAAAAGAGACTGTGAAGAATTGCATTATCTCAAAATTCAGGTAGCAAACTATTTTAAATGAGCCACAGCTTGCCTAACCTTTGGCCTATTGAGGTAGCTGTTATTTCCTGGAGAAAAAGCTTTTTATAGGATGTTTGAAAATTCTCATTTGACTTGTCTTTTACATGAGAGTTCCTTGCCCTGGAGTTAAGATTTTTCTCATTGCTAGAAAAGCAGAGAGGATTGTACTCCATGTCTTGAAAACGTATACATTGAAGCTAATGGTAACTTAAAAACAGTTACTTAATTACTGGATTGAAAGATGAGAATAATTTGCTATTGAACTTTTCTGGCCTATCTGCTTATTCATGGCTTGTTATTCGGACTTTGTCCTGTGCATTTCCTCATGCGTGAACACATTTATTCTAAATTAACTCATAAAAGGGCATTTTCCAGGAACTTAGCGTGAATGCTTTGCCGATGAAAGGGCTATTATTCTGGTGCCTTGTCTCCTCCACTGGTTATCCTCATTGTAGAAAGATCTCTTGCTTCATTTAAGTGGGTGCAGGAGAGAGACCAATGAAATGAAAAAATGAGGGAAATTTCACCAAGGTCATGCAAGCTGAGTACACTGGAGGCCCAAACTTAATTTTCTGGTTCTGTTCAAATATTTTGGTGTTTGGAAATTTATGCATGAAATATTATTGTGTACACTTATTTTTCAGTTCCTATCTCAAAAAGGTTTCTCTCCTAGAAAGTATTTCAAAGGTATTCAGAGACAGTGAATAAATTAAATGAAATAATTGTTCCATGATAAGCTGAGCACAAGAAAAGGTTTTGCTAAGTAGTAATTCTGGCTTAACATCTGTGTTCCTCTTGTCTGGTTTAGATAAATTATAACTGATTCTATTTTCCATGTGTGCTCTTATTATCTGTGTGTGGGTGTGCGTTTTTTTTCGGGTGGGGGAAGATAGCAGGGAGGCAGCAGAGCCAGAGCACATTTTTACAGGTGGACCAAAACATCAATAAACCAAATTTCAGTTGCAACACAGCCTAGCTTTCTCCTTTTAAAGCTCAAAAATTTGTTTTCTAATTAACACTTTTTCCTGGTTTTTGTAATTGTGCTTGATTTTACAAATACAAGTCCATTGCTTGTGTGACCAAGTATAAAGAAATACACCTAACATTTTGAATATTTAATTTTGTTTAGTATAAGTTTTGCATATGCCATTCTTTTGCATATGCCATATGTGGGGTACATTCTCAAACAAAGAAGATAAATAGGGGTTTTATAGTCTCTAAAGCATTTGTGAAGTTTGGGGTATAATTTCTTCTTTATTGCAAATTGATAAACATGAAAGGATAGAGAGTTATGTATTTGCACACTGACTCTCCTATTTAATATGTATTTCTTCCATGGACTGCCCTTCCTTGTTTTTCACTCCAGGTTGATTTAGACATTTCTTTCAAATCCCACCTTCTTTATGAGGCCTTCTTTGATCAATTCCACCCTACTCTGGGATGGCTATCATACTTTTTCTTTCCCTAAACATCTATGTGCACTTCTTGCGAGGCATTCCCTCATCTTCAAACGTCTCCTCCTATCCTAACTGAAAGTTGTATACATGTCAGGGCCTTTTCTTCCACTTCTATGAAACTAACCACCCAGTGGCATCAGACTCACAAAGACTAATTCAATAAGTAAAAACACAGAGAGAATCCTTTGTATGACTTGGAAAATCAGAGGATATTCCAAAGCCAGCATGCTTGGGTCACACTTACCGCTGACATTTTTGTGTTGACACCAGCAGCGATGAAAATTGACATTGTCGTCATTGCCGTCTTCTACACAGTGTACCTGTTTATGTCAGTTTCTCCTACCTTGTCTCCCAGTCAAGAAATGAAGAATAGGACAAATTCTGGAAAACATTGTTATTATCCTAAAATATGATTTAATGATAAGTTTTGCTCTTTCATCACCTCTGTGGTAATTTTAAATAACTGAAGATGTTTTTAAAAGAAAGGATGATTAGAAAGTTATTCAATTAGGTATAATGATCCAGTTTCTGTTGCAAGCTAAGAATCACTGAAGACAGATGAGTAAATTAATGGTTATTTATAAACTATGTTTAAGGTTCAACACGGAAAAGGGCATTAAATTAATAATATTTTGAAGATGATCCTCCCAGGAAAAAGGGTTAAAATTCTTTCTTTTTCTTTTAACCCATTCAAGTACTCTCTGGTGTCACAAAGACATCATTTATGTCAGATATAGAATGAAACCATTTTCAAAGGAACCACCATTTGATTTATAATGAAATTAATAATCAACTACAACAATTTTAGATTAATGAGCCATGCTACTTTGCACTTAATATTTTATTATTAAAACAGATAATCAATTAATTCAGTTGGTCTTTTAATAACTTATAAATGAGGATATCTGCAATAATGTCTCATAAGAGAAATTGTCATAATCATTTACAGATACCTCTTCTGCTTGTATTAGGTATTTGTTTATCTTTGGGTTTCCCAAGCACAGTGCAAATAAGTAGGTGTGCAGTTAATGTGTATGGGCTAAATAAATTCATTGTTTTGAATGATTTTATATTCATTGGCTCACTTGGGTAACCAGTCATCACCTGAGCTATTATCCCAGTTTTTTATTTGAGGAAAATAATAGTCTGTACAATATCACAAAAGTAATAAGTAGTGAATCCTAGAATGAAATCTATCCATTTCATTCCTCATTACAGTAGTGAATGGAGAGAGAATATAAATGCTTCATTACATATGTCTCATTGTTTTCTAACTTTTGCAGTACTACAGAAACATAAGTATCTAATAACAATTGCAAACATGATAAATTGTAAGGCATTTAAATTTTATAACCTGCACTCACAACTGATAATAATTGTCTTCATAGCAATCAAATTTTGCCTCAGTTCTTCTATATGAAATCATTTATGCAAAGCTCTTGAGAAATGTTTGGATGAAATAGCAAATAACAGATATAAATAACGATGTAAAATATGGTGTCAATTTAAATACTACTTAAAGTTTGAACTGCTATTGATCTAATTATGGATACAGGAATAGGTTTGAATGAGTAATTATTCTTTATAGCACTTTATAGCAAATCATATGTCAGAATATTATTATATTTAGTGTTTTATACATTTCAGGAGTGTGATAGAGATTTTAGGTTTCAGCTTGTCATTTGGTCACTGAATAAAGATTTTTATAGAAATCAAGATATGGTATATTTTAGAGTTGAATATAAGGAAAAATGAAAATGATCCCCATGAAGTTAAAGCATGTGGTTTTCCTATTTTAATTCTAATTGACAAAGTGACATTTGGGAAGGTCATTTTATTTCTCATAGTCTCAGTTTTGTACAACCACAATGAGGTATATCTTCCCTTGCCTACCTTCTAAGGTTGTTGGAAGGATCAAATTTGACAGTGCATGTGACAAACTTTGCTATTTTTTCTTTAACATGACATTGTTTATTTTATGACATTATATTGTTGATTATTCACATAATGAAATATCCTCTAAGAAATGGTTTATTTGGTTATCACTACATTTGATAAGGGCAGCATGTTTATTGCTGAAAGAGCTGTATCCTGATTTATGGAGCAAAAAAATCTAAAAAAATACGCAAGCTACCAAAAGTGTAAATATAGGAATTAACCCAGTAATGTTTGTTTTTCTATTCTACTAGAGGTTATAGAGTAATATCAGTGTGTGTGTGCATGCACACATGTGTATGTGTGTGTGTGTATTTACAAAACTATGTAACATTACTGTCCTAAGAGACCCTAGATAATCCTCAAAAATTTCGGGTTCACTTAATCTTCCTCTTGGCAGAGTAGTCACAATATAATGAGTGAGGCTAGGTGACCCCAGAGTTCAGAGTCTTCATGCCATCAGAGAGCAGAACTCATAAAAAATTAGCCCAAATGGATATTGCATTGACTGACAAGCCTCATTTGAGGAGGCGTCAATTTAACTTTAAACCCTCATTGATAGCAAGGGAAAGAAGGGCATGTCTCCAAATGCAGAAAACTGTTGCCATAGCATTTTCCTTCTCCTGCCTATTCCTCCTCCCCCAAAGCAGCAACAATTTGTGCTTCACCGTTTTCTTTCAGGAATCAGATGCGTTTTCAGAAGCCAGAACTCCAGCGATACACACCTAACAAAGGAACCTGGTAAGGATACTGAGTAAGTCTGAAAGTGCTATCAAGTTTCTCAGGACAGAATCATCTTTGCGGATGCAACTGCAGCACAGGAAACAGACTCAGGGAGAATTTCAGCTCCCCCCAAATCTCATTGGCCATCTTCACAAGCCAAGCCACAATCACTCCCGCAACACAACGGCTCCCTTTCAGCACTCGCAGCCGTGGACAGCTCCCTCCCCTCGCGCGGTCCATTCCTCTGCAGAGAGCAGACCCGGGCTCAGCCTGCGAGGTCCGGGCGGCACTCGACACCAAGTCCTCGCCAGCGGGCACAGAAACACGCGCTCCCCCCTCCTCCCTTCGGTGCCCCCGCCCCTCGCTCACCGGGCTCACTCCAGCGGCGACTTTGAGGGATTCCCTCTCGGGCGGCCTCTGCAGCAGTTCATCTGGCCTCATTCTCTGCACAGTGAGCATGGATCTCCGAGGAAGAGCGTTTCCCAGCGTCCATAGACTTGGAGTTCTTCTGATGCTGTTCCGTAAGTAGCGTTTTGGCGACCGCGAGGGCAGTGTTCCTGTCTCTTTGCAGAGAATACAACCGGTATAGTAAAACCAGTAGCTTAAGGTGAAAATGTGGCCCTTACGTTGTGCTGTTTCTTTTTTCAAGGGGAGGGGGCGAAGGGCCCACTGTCAGTGGCAGGGAATTCTCCAGAGAGCCACATACATGTAAAGCATATGGAAGGCATATCCCAGACAGAATGTTATAGGAGCCTGCTCCCTGGGGGCAGGGAATTTACCGGAAAATTCTGGTTTAAAAGCCTAAGATAAAAAGGCCAGGAGAAACACAAATTAGTAAGCTTTACCATTTTTAAAATCTAGTTTTTATTATAAATTAACAGCAACAGAGTCGTATTTGTTGGCTCTAGGTTAGGGAAATGGCTCACAGAGATCGCAGCAGTCCGCAGGGAACTTTGTCACCCCAAAGCCCGGAGACCAGTCTTTCCATCCTCGTGCCTGAGATTCTTGTGCCCGCTGCTCCCCGAACCGATAAGATTTTTTTTCTGTTTTTCTGCAGATACAATAGTTCAAATCATGGCAGAACAAGAAGTGGAAAATCTCTCAGGCCTTTCCACCAACCCTGAAAAAGATATATTTGTGGTGCGGGAAAATGGGACGACATGTCTCATGGCAGAGTTCGCAGCCAAATTTATTGTCCCTTATGATGTGTGGGCCAGCAATTATGTTGATGTAAGGAAGCTTTTCCTCCCAGTTTGCTTCTGGGGCTCCAGGGGCAAAGGGCAACCTCCCTTAAGGCCCTCTGAAGACCTGGGTCCCTCCTTCTCCCCTGCACCTTTGCAGGCTGCTCCCGAATGCTGCATGGGGATTCTGGCTTGTAACACCTTCTGCTCGCCTTGCGTGCTTTGAAAGTAAACCCCCCTCTCTCTGCTTTCCTAACGGCCGGGTCTGCACGTAGAGCATCTAACCGCATGTTCCTGGGCCTGGGAGCGCGCGTGCGCGCAAAGAAGCGCCCAGGTGTGCAATACGGAGTTTGGACGCACCGCCCTTCACAGCCCCCACTGCGGCCCGGGGGCGCTGAGCAGGTGCGGGGCGTCTGTGTTCCCAGCTGATCACGGAACAGGCTGATATCTCACTGACCCGGGGAGCTGAAGTGAAGGGCCACTGTGGCCACAACGAGTCCGAGCTGCAGGTGTTCTGGGTGGATCGCGCGTATGTGCTCAAAATGCTGTTTGTAAAGGTAACTCTGGGAGGGGCACGCAGAGGGAAAGCAAACTCCGGGTGGGTGGGGGCAGGGGCCACCCCTCGGTTTCCTCACCCAAAAGCCGCAAAGGCAGTTGACGGCGCGCCTCCCCCACTCAGCAGGAAGGTCACAACACGTCCAAGGGACCTGAGGCAACTTGGAGGCTGAGCAAGGTCCAGTTTGTCTATGACTCCTCGGAGAAGACCCATTTTAAAGACGCAGTCAATGGTGAGTAGAGGCCAGCAGAGCTGGGGGCAGGGGTAGCCTGGGAAAGCGTGAATAGAAAGCACAGGCTTGGAGGCTGAATTCCTCAGGAAATTCTGAAATTTTGTGGAAACGGTCTAGCTTTGTGCTCCCAGGCCAAATCCACCTTAGGCTTGCTCTCCAAGGCAGAGGATACTTGAGCACCGGTGGGTCCTAGGGACCTCAGGCCAGTAGATGTGCAAGGTACCCCAGGCCTAAGAACTAGTCTGTCAACCAGACTGATTGTAGGTAAGACTTCTTTTGACAGCTTCTATCTTCCCCTGGCTGCTTCAGGATGACCTCTTACAATTTGTCCTTTAAATGACCAGAAGAAGGGCAAACTGTATATTTGTTTTTCTGCACCCAGTTTTTCTTATGAGCTGCAACTTGAAGGGGGCAGTATGGTATTTTGGGGGGCTCAGGGCTCTCATGCGATATTCAGTCATCACTACAACCAACTCAAGAGTAGATTCTGAGCCACATCCTAATTTATTAGCATTTCCTGCCCATCACTCCAGCAACTCACCCGGATCTTCCAAAAATACCGAGGCAAGAGGAATATCCATTTCTCAATTACAATGTTCATATTTGCAGGCACCATCAAATACCACATTTAAATTAATTCATTAATTTATTTTGCAAGTTGTCTAATTTACTCATAATGAGGCCTTCCATCATCTGAGTTAGAGAAAGATTTTTATTGAGCATATAAAAGAGTACATGTATCATCTCTCCCTCTTCACACCTTTTTATCATCGCAGTAAAAAGAGCAGTATCTTCTTTTCAACAAAATTCATATTCAAGCATTTTCCACAGTTAAATTTGACCCTCACCCTCAAAAAGGAAAAAAACAAAACAAAAAACACAGATGTATGCCAGAAAGAGAGAAAAAGGAGGAAGACTTCTAAAGGAAAGGGTATTTGCCCAGGCACCAGCCATACTTGATTGAAGAAGATATTTTATTCTTTGAGAGCCAGTGTGAAACATGGAAAACCAAGTCATGAGTCTATGTCTTTGGAATCTCCATTGTTAGGTTTTATATAGTAAAAAGGGTTGGGTTTTTAGGTATCTTTCTCCTCTTCCAAAAAGAAATTCAAGTTGGTGCGAGAAACCCTTGCTTATGAAACAGTATGTGCATTTATCTGTTGTCACCACTTGATGTCATTTACAGAGCCCCTGCCTCAGCAAGGCAACACAGAGGATCAGAGGGGTGTCTGGAGCTATGAGGCAAGAGCCGACTGTCTGGAATATAAGGCTAGGAGCAAGGAGGGTTCTGCCAAGAAGAGGGGCCTAACAATTGCTTTTGGTTTTCGCTGTAGCCGGGAAGCATACTGCCAATTCACATCACCTCTCTGCCTTGGTCACCCCAGCTGGGAAGTCCTATGAGTGTCAAGCTCAGCAGAGTATTTCACTAGCCTCCAGTGATCTGCAAAAGACAGTCACCATGATCCTGTCTGCAGTCCACATCCAACCCTTTGACATCATCTCTGATTTTGTCTTCAGTGAAGGTAGGTTGGTGGGGGTGGAAGTGGGAGGAGGAGATGGGAAGTGGGGAGGAGGGCTGGCTTGGATGTGGATGGGTGTGGAAGGTCCTGCCAGGGTTCCAGGCTGCTGCCACTTGGATTTCCTCTATGCTGACATGACACTATCTCCCTCTGTAATATTTTTCATAGGCCAAAGATAGTAAACAGCATCCTAGCAACTTTCTTAAATGACTCTTTCCTTTGTCTCCCTCTCTCTCTTCCTCCTTCACTTCATTCCTTGACACTCTCTATTCCTCTCTTTTGCTCCCTCCATTATTTTTCTTCCCCTTCCTTCCTTCCTTTGCTAAAAGAGGAACCTTGCTAGGGAAAGAAGTAAAAAAGTCAGCTTAGAAAATACATATAATTTTGATGCAATTTACTCAATGGTAAAGCAGCTAAAAATTTCAAGTAGTTATCTGGGGACCCGTGGACAATAGCCTTTGCTTCTTTGGGCTTCCATGTTTCTCTCAGACACTTCCAGCTGAAGGTTCCAGCACTGTGAATCTAAGTTTTTGTGCTAAAATGCTATAGGGATGTGTGTGTTTGCAGGTCACAGAGAGACTCATGAAGACCTGTGTGCCTCCAGCAATCACCTTTGTGGGGAGAGGCTCCCATGAGTCTCTGGGGAGGCAAGGGCCTCTGATAGGCTCCCTCTGGGGTTTGGAGGAAGGCCTCTTTTCAGTCTGTGCTAGCCCTGAAAGGGGATCAGGCAGGACACAACTGGGGCAGGTTCAGGGCATCCATATTGTCTCCGTTCTCTGCCTTCCAGCAGAGGTCAGACATGAGGAGAATCCACATGTCCGCAATTTGTCCAAGTCTAGCAACAATTTACACTGGGCAAATGTAGAGTATGAATTCTTTAATTCATTTGTTCTCTCCTGCACCCCTGTAGGAGGTTATTAAACACAGATTGATATTTATTCCATTTATTCCTTTGGTTAAGAAATGAGAAGAGATTCTGATTGCTTTATGGATGCCTTCCTGTGGGCTGGGGATCCTCAGGTGAATATAACTATTAGAAGTGCATGATATTAGGGAATCCCCATCTGTGTTACACACAAATCATTAAATCACCTTCCAAGGAATTCAGCTCTCATGAAATTTCCCTCCGCTCAAACTATACCGAAAAGAATCTGGCCCCACTACCCCCTCCTGCCATGATCATTCAGAAGGCATTTGAGAATTCCTCAGTTAAACCATCCTTGAGAGAATGACCTGCTTCTTTTCACCTTTGTATTTTTAGCACCTAATACAACACATTGCAGATGTCCAGTTAATTTTGGCTAAACTGATATTATGAAGCTGTGTACTCAGGTAACGGAAACATCCAAATGAATGTCCGGCATATTAGAATTTAACGTATTTAGTAAAGCAGTGCCACACTTAATTCCACACACTCATGGAAGGATGGGCTGTTCCATTTTAATATATTTTCTACAAAATTGAAACTAGGTGTTAAGACCTTAACATTAAAAAAATATGATTGACTGTGAAAGTATTTTTAAAATGTAAGTGTCTTTCTTAAATTGAAAATGTTAAATATAATTAAATGCAATTGGACTTATAATTCCACATGACCAGGAATTCATTATGAAAATATTGGACTGTCTAGTATCAGTCCCGCAGGGGCCCTGTCATAGATGCTTTTGAATTTATATGGGTACTCTTAATAGTGTCTAATTACTCTCTGTTTTTGGCTGGTCAGCTGTTCTTAGATATTTATTTCTTTGTACTACTAGTGCTGTGATCGCTTTTACTAGGTCCTCACTACAACTCCCCCTAAGCTCATTCTGGGTCATTTCTATATTGTTGCTTATAGTCATTTATAGATTGAGAAATCACATCTCAGAGATGCTTAGAACTGTATCCAAAGCAAGGGCAAATCAGTACTGAATAAGAACCAAAGCTACTTTTCTAGAAATCAGTAAAGTGCATGACATAGACTTAACATCTTTTGTTTGAAAAGCAGTTTTAATCCAGGTTCCAGATGGGCATGACTGCTGGGCAGACCTAGAGAGTTGGTAAGCATGTATCACTTCCTAAGTGCAGATATATTAAGCATAAGCAAATTGCACTTGTCTCTCCTAGGCTTTTCTGGGTAATAATTAGGATGTTCCCTCCTGTATGGTGCCCTGGGGCTCCAACCTTGACGTTCTTGGGAGGAGGCAAGCCTCATTCAAAATCAGTCACTGGATCGATGGGTCTTTGTGTGGCAAGGCTCCTTTTGTTCCTGGCTCCTCCTGCCGGCCTGTGCCTCTCAGCACCTGCCCCCCACTGTGTTTTGTAAGAGATCATTTTATTTGATTTGGTGACATCTGGAAGATTCCTTTTCGAGTGGCTGTTTGGGACCTGGCCCTTGGCCTCCATTGCCCAGAACAGAAGCTCAGGAGGCTCTGGATGTACGGCTGATCCCTGTGTAGGTCTGAGTGGAGGGTGTCTGCATGGGGAAGGGGGGTTATCTGGTCATATATTTGCATGCCCACTGCAGGGGTGTATATATGCCATTATCACTGGTTGGCAGGATCCACAGCATAAGGATTTCCTAAGAGGAACCACCTATTCCTCGTGTAAGGGGGTCATAGTTGGCAGTCTGCAGCTTCATACCTGCCTACTTAATAGACTGAGAAAAACAAGGAAGGGTCAGTGAAAAGAATTAGTGGACACTCACAGGGGCTGAAAGCAGTCCAAATGGGGGCTGACAACTTTATCACACAAATCCCTTGAGTGCATTCAGCTTGGCTACTATACTGATCCCTAGCATGCCTCTCACTGCAGTGTGTGCACGAAACTTCAGTTGCAGCATGCACAGCTGTGGTGATCTTGTTAATACTCTGAGCCTGGCTCAGCAGGTCTGGGGGTGAGCCCAATACGCTCCATTTCTAGAAAGCTTCCCAGCCTATGGAATACTATAGGGACTTTGAGGGATTTTGAACTGATCACAGAAAAAGGTATGATATACACCTTATTGGTGTGTATCAAGTGCCACTTGGACAAGGCTGCATGAGAAGAAAAGCCTCTCACAGCATGACAGCACCTCATGGACCACCATCCAGTAGAGGAGGAGGGCAAAGAACCTCCTGGTGTGGTGAGGGGTATAGGACAGGGGACTGAGGTGTCTGGGTGGTGTTGCTCAGCAGCAGGTGAGGACTCCTCTCTGGGTCAAAGAGCTGAAGGGCAGCAGAGGCTCCATCCTCATCACTAACGAGGCCCTGTCTTATCAGTGGGTAACAGCCGGTTTGGTATGCAAAGCAGGTGGGCTCTAATGGCTATTTTTTGAAATAACTGGATATGTAAAAATTTAAGATTTTGAGATAAGGGGTTTCAGCTTGCAGAAATAAATCATCTAGGGACCATACACCAAAGCCACTCTGGCCCATTTCTATGACAAATACACACCGGATAGCAGCTACTCCCTTGCAGTTCCAGGCACCTGTGCTTCTCACTTGGGTCTGGTCAATGTGCCTTCCCAAGTCAATTCCTTGTAGTGTGTCCCTCTGAGGGCTTCAGGAAATTTCTGGCTGTGATGGAAGCAGGGGGAGGGGGGATGCATCACCGAGAGAGAACAAATTAGTCTGAGTGTCTTAACAGCTTGAGTTAAAGGCAACTTTTATGCATACCTACAGAAGAAATGTGGTAGAACATGAAGGGGACCTCTGATCTTTAACAAAAGGTTCAGGTTTAATATGCATATAAATGTTACCACATATAGGCTGGTCCCTTTTTAATTCTGAAGAAGGAAAAATCAACCAACGTGTGAATAAAATATGAGATCCTTGTTTACAGTGGAGAAACTGAAGCTCAGGGAAGTGAAGATATAAATGAAGACTGCCCAACTAGTGGCTGTCAGGGCTGGGACAGGGATAGAACTTGTCTGAGTATCGGATCCTGTGCTTTTAGCCTCTCTGAGAATCAGCTACTCCTGCTCAGCAACCATAATAAACATGTGAATGCAGGAAGCACCTTTAGAAAGCTTATCTGGTACCCTGAATTCGTGCATTTTTTGTTATTGTTCCTAACAGCATGACTGGGAGATGCCACTTGATCTGTATCCTACCGAGACCTATGGGGAAAATGATTGTGTTTTAGTGGAAATGTTCATACCTTACCTTTCCCTGTAAGCCAGCCTGCAGTAGAGTGCCCCAAAGTCAGCTGCCATGCCACAGATGCGAGCAGGGTTTGCTGAAGCTGATCCAGAATGTTGTGTAGACCTGTGATTTACTTGGCACATCCCAGCCAAGAAGTGTGTCACCCTGAGTGGTTGGTCCTCAGGGTCTCCTGGGTGAGCTTCTCCAGAGAGATACAGTCTTGTGGTTGACACTGCTGAGAACTGATGGGTAAAGGGCTGGAGTGTGGAGTCTTGGTGTCCCACTGTAGGGCCACGGAGCTAGCTGGTTGTAGAATTCAGCTTTCTTGGTGCTGTCCTGGAACACAGTGTTTTAGGTTGGGTTCCTATGTGAATAAGTGCAGTTAGTTGATTCAGGACCTGGTTCTTAAAAGCACTGGTAGGGGAGTGCAATAGTGGGCTAGGAAGTCAAGGCAGCCAGGCCAGGTGCCTTAGGGAGCAGCTTACCACAGTGGGCACCCAGGGCTCATACTGCTGGAGCCTCAGGGAGAGAGCGCAGAACCTATCTCAGAGTTATCCCACCGAGGCATGGGGGAACTGGCACCTACCCACCAACCCCCATCCATGACTGATGGCCAGTGGGGTAGGAGGAGGTGTTGACTCTCTGGAACTTCTAACCTGCTTGTAGCCACAACCTGTTAGAATGTGTGAGCATGGTGAATGCCAAGGGGATAAAACTCTGTCCATGTCTGCTACACTTTGTTATATGACCTTTCACTGCCCTGGTGGAGCATATAGACCAGTAAGGAAGAGTTTATAGAACTCTATCTTGTGCATGCTGTGTTCCTGGTGACAACAGCTTCATCAATAATTACTTTAATAATCTTCTTTTTAATTGTTAGTGCTTACATCTTGGTGAGAA